CATTTTATTTTGTATCTCAGTATGTAAAAATATGGGATTTCTTTGAATTCATTTTGGTTCAGTCTTGTCGAAAATTTGAAATCAGCAGAAACTAGTTTTAATTTGTAAAATTCGTGTACTTAATGTTAATGGCTGAAAATTTTATATGTTACTGTCCTCATGCTGTTTCTACTTGTGTAAAGTTTCATAAGTTAACTCGTTCATTACATTTGGTTTTAAATTGGTGCTCGTTTTTGCTGAAAACTTGTTCAATTTTATAAAATCATGTGCTTTGAATTTGAGGCTGAAACTTGGTGGTTTTTCTAAGTACTGGGAGGTGAATTTTTCGTTAAAATTTCAGAGTCTAATTTATAGGGAAACCTGACCAACTTGTTTTATGTGAATATCGGCTAGTATTTTCAAAATATAGTTTTTGAATTAAAAACTGTAAACCGGCTCGCCTTCTGTTTCTTTGGTTGTTTGACTTGGTGCATCTTTGATTGAGAATATGTGAACTTCCATGCGTAATTGGTTGAGTCTTAGAGCCGAGTCTAAGTGTTTCCATGTCCACAGGACTTCACGAATAACTTAGTCGAATCAAGTTCGACTAAGTCAAATTGTGATTTCCTTTATAAGTCAAGATAGGATGTTGATCTTAGTATCTTGACTTAATGTAGGTGCTTTGAGGAGTTGAACCTCACCCTTCGTTCGAAGCTCGTACTTGTGATTATCGCGTCAACCAGGTGGGTTGTTATTCTAAAATTGGCTATGCTGTAAATGTTATAAACGTATAGTTTGTGGGTTTTATTTAAAAATTTCTTATGCTGCAAATGTTATTAATGTATAATTTGTAGTATGATCAATGTATGCATGTGAACCATGTAGCCTTCGATGTGAGCTGTACCGGCCGTCGAACGGTTATCCCCGTAGCTATAGAACGTGCCCGATGGGTAGTCTCTTTTATTTATGTATGGCCGTAAGACCGGGGCATGGGCCATCGGCTGGTGATCCCCGTTTGTAAGACCAATTCGTAGGTCTTGGCCGGCGGGGTGGATTACTCCTCCGGCTGGACATCGTTGTAAGACCAAGGTGTAGGTTTTGGCATTCGAATCGAGTATCAACAGTAGTCTATGCGTAGGTGTGCACATGAGGAATGACTCTGGGATAGGAGATGGGATATTAATTGATTTGTGTTCATACTGCGACCATACCTGCTATATTTTATGAATTTGAATATTAATTATTGCATAGCGGTGAGCACCTCGATTTTCCTATTGTGCTCATCCCCACCTGCTCTTCATGGATGCAGGTTAGTAATTGCAGGCACGACGGAGGGAGGCGAGTGGTGGTCATGTTACTGATTACTTCCACTGTTTAAACTGCTTAGTATCATTTATGCATTTCTGATTTACGTTGGGTACCGATTATTAATAGAGAGTGTACTCCCTAGTATTTATGAATTTGACAAACCCAGTTTTGGGAGATTTATGAACCCGGTTTGGGTGTTGGCATGATTATTGAACCCGTTTTGGGAGTTGCATTTATGATATTGTTGAAATTGTTTGGGAAATGGTTAGTGCCTCAAGTGTTTTGGAATAAATTTTGAAAAATTTATACTGAATTTCGGCAAATAAAAGTAGGTATATCTATACTATGGTTTATTCTGTATAAACATCTTGTAGTATAGTTTTTATATGCATGATTGTGGGTCGATAGCCGTATATGCTTTGTGAGAATTTACCTAGAGGCTTGAAATAATAGTCAACAAGTTGGGTAATTATGAGTTAAAGGATTTACTTGGGGACTTGAAATAAGAGTCAATAAGTCGGGTAATGATCAGTTATAGATCAACGTTCATTAGCTTAGGTTAACAGCGTATAATAGCCAGTAAGCTTGGTAGAATTTTGGGGTTTAAAATAATAGTCGATTAGCCAAGTCTACCTGGAGGCTTGAAGCGGATGTTATCAGTCAGCAGTGAAATGTTAGACCTTTCATATTTATATGACTGTTATCATATTTGTGCTTATATCGAATCGATGAATAGTATGATTTACCACTGAGCTTAGACGATGTGCTCACCCTTTTGTTTTTCAGGTTAATCAGCTGGTGGTGGACGCGAGAGGACGGGCGTGGTCATCAACTACTTATGTTTTTATACTTCAGCTAAATGATTATGAAAATCATTATTATTTGAATGTTTTAGACTTCCAACTATTTGGAACTATGTTGTATTTTCTAAATTGTGATTGTTTGGAAATGTCCTGATTATGCTTCGATATGTTTAAGAAAAAAGTTGTTTTTGAGTAATGCCCAAATGTTAATTTTGGTAAATGTTTTCTAAAAGGTTCAAATTATTTCTGAAAAATCTTGTCTTTTCTTAAATAAGTAAGCGTGCGTTACAAGAAGCACAAGCCCACGTAGGCCGGGTAATGGGTTCGTCATCGCAAGTACCGCTATGATACAATGTAAGAATCAAGGGAAAACGGGTGCGGTCCCAAGCACGTGAAGCGCACTATAAGAGGGTGAGCCTAGATGTGGCTTTGTCAGGTTCTATCCTAAAACCAATTGGTGGTAGGAGTAGTAGCCCACTAGACTTACAAGTTAGACCGATTTTTCCTGTATAAACAATGTAAGACAACTCACTAGTGGTACTATATTCTAATAATATATAAAATAGCTTCATTATTTTCTCAATAAGAGTTGATATAGGATCGTAATTATTATTTACAAAGGTAAATATAATTATTGTTTTATATTGTATACGCAACATGATGTAGAATTGGAAATTAATTAGTTTAGTATAAAATTTATGAAAAATTGACAACACAGAAAAAATTAATTTTCAAAGTATACTTGTAACTATTGTTTTAAATAATGCGCTATAAGAAAAGCGATGTAGCAACATATATATTTAGTGTTTTTCTCGAAAAGTTTACGCGAAATGCTAAAATGACACGTTTTTTCTCTATTTTACGCTATGTTACCTTCTTTTTTTGTTTTCCAGAACGACAGGGGAACTATTATATAACTCAGAAAACAAGCCATGTTCGAATACAGAGCATAACATACTTAAATAAATTACACTGGAAATAGAAAAATGAGAGGCACACTAACATGTGGCCTAGAGCCTCAATAAGGAAAAAACTGAAAAATGATAAACTACAAACTATTTAAAAATATATACTTTTTAGGGATTAGAGTCATATTTTCAGATGACAACAAAAAATTGAACATTTTCATAATGATTTCAAATTAAAAGTTTGAAAATGCAAAGTACTAAGTTGGATAATGCAATATTTATTGGTCTAGTTCTATTATATCATTTTATTTTTTGATATTTTACATTTAAATTAAAAAGTAAAACATTCAGATCTAGTGGTTAGAATTAAGTTGTAGTTAAATTAAAATAACCAATTAAAATGTACATATTTAAAATTAAACTATGACTTACTTTATTATATTTTCGTTGTTTGCTTTTACTTTTTAGTATATTCGCTTTACTATTTAAGTATTCATATTAAGATATTTACATTAACACTTGTGAGAAATAATTCTTAAATGTTATTTTTTAATTCACTTGTGAGAAATAATTCTTAAATGTTATTTTTTAATTCATTCAAATATTATGATAATTCTTACAATCAACCATCCAGTTTTATTATATCCAAATGTATATATAATATTTCTATAAAATCATTTTTATACCCTAATAGCTTACCCAAAACACAACGCTATATATGCTATATACTATAAAGACTAAAACTAAACGCATTACGCTATACGCATTTTAAAACATTGTTTGTAACTAGAGTTAATAAAATAATTTATAATTTTACAAATCTTGAATTCAAATTTACAAGTAGCACTCTAAAACATAGTTTTTAAACCCGGCCTGGGCATTGACCCTTGCAATTTTCGGGTCACCGGTTCAACTGTCGCCAGGTCAATTGTTGAACCGGATAATTAATTTTAAAATTTATAAAATTACATATATATAGTATTTTTGTCATATATATATATATATATATATATTTNATTAACTAAGGTGTATTCAATTGGGATTTCAAGTGACATTTTGAGTTTTAAAATTTGAGATTTGTTAAAATTTCCAGATTTTAGAGAAATCCCGTTAAATCTTAAGTGTGGAGGTGGGATTTGATGTAAGATTTCGTATAAGGTTTTTTTATTAGAAATCCCAAAAAATCTTAAAAAGTCTTAACAAATCCTTATGTTAAATAAATTAAATATTTGAGGATTTTGTAAGGCGTATTAAAATCTCAATTGAATACTCCAGGATTTTTAAAAATCTATAAAGTCTTAACAAATCTAAATTGAATACGCAGGATTTCTAAAGTCTTAAAAAGTCTTTACACATTCTAATTGAATACACCCCCACAAATGTTTTGTATATAAAATTTGAACATCAAAAGTTAATAATATTGTATCTCATCAAAATATTTACTTTTTAAATATATACGTAGTTTCTATTTTCAAAATAAAAAATATATATATATATATATATATTTTCAAAATATTTTTAATGGCCCCGGTCGACAATGTTAAGACTCGATTTTGACCGAGTTTGATCTGTTCCATTGTTACCCAGACCAGTTTGAGTTCTGGGTTGACCGGGTGCCGGGTCGACACTACAGTTTGCATCCGAGTCGCCGTACTGACATTTAAATAAAGCTTTCTTTTAGTTGCTTTAGCAATTAGCATTTACAAAGCGGTTGCTCGTGTTGATATTTCATATTACACAAGCATAACAATAATAAAAATAAACTCCCAGGAATTGAACTTTGAAATTGACCAATGGCAAGTAAAACAGATCAGCACAAATCTATGGCCTTTTTCCCATTATTACTTAGCAAAAAAACATCCCGTATGCACCGCACCAACTACACAATTACAACAGAAAATCCGAAATGGCGTGAAGAGGAAGCACATCACTGTAATAGCAAAAGGACGAAACTGCCCCTGACCGTACTCTAACAACAATACAGATATTGGATTGGTTTTATTTAACAGTAATGGAATGAGAAAGAAGCAGCTGCCGGGAGGAGGTGCCGGTGGTGGTTCCCTCCACCGCCGCTGCCGGCGGTCTCCCTCTCAATCCGCCACCGGAGGTGTAGAAAATCTTCGACGGAGCAGGGTAGGACGAGTGGTCCTGACGTGTTGTAGCCGTAGATTTCGCGAGATTTGTCAAGAAGGTTGTGAAAGAGAGGATGATACAAATAGGAGATTGGGATTGAAAACCTGTGAAAGCGGGCATCTTCATCTTCCAACCCGACTTGAACCGCCACCCATCCTTTCTTCGCTTTCATCTTCTTCTTCTCATGCATTTTTACTTTAATGTTGAGTGGAATTAGTTATTTGCCAATTGAATTTGTGTGTGCTCTGAGGATTTATGCGGAGCAGTTGAGTTTATAGGGAATATATAAAGTAGATATGATATTGATATGGTCCCACAAAAATATGGTCTCACAAAATTCATCATATTGTAAAAGTTTTAACCCCAAAAGATTTTATTTGAAACAATATCGAATCAATTTTTCAATTCACCAATTTAGTGGGATTAATCTTGCAACGTTCTCCTAAAAAGTTATTAAATTTACTAATTATTTTGTTAAATTTTATTTTTAGGTTGGAGTCTTATATTCATATAAATGAGATGGGTTTAAAATCTATATATATATATATATATAATTACCACAAGATTCAATAAATTTATTCAGCCAGCAATTAATAATAATATAAGTTCATTTAATAAAAATATGTTCATCATTTAATAGTAATTAATATGTAACTTTCAGTTACACAATTTATTTTGACAGGTCCTATTTTGGATGGTGCCAATTTCTGTAACGTCTTTTTTATGTCCTGAAATATAAAATATTTTATTTTTATATTGATACTATATACGTTTTAGTATTATATAAATACATATTTTCACAACTAATTAAGAATGACTACGACTATCTGATCTATTTTCTATTGTAGTTATATAATAATGAAAAAATATTTTTTCGGATATTACAAAGATATATCAAATATTTTGATAAATTAATTTTAGAGTCACGAGTTTAACAATAATGATTTATTGTGATGAAAATTCTGACGAATGAAAACTACAAATATTATATATAAATATTACTTTCTCTTCTATTATATAGTTTTTTCGTGCAAATGCATGATGTACAACTAGCGTTTGTTTGATAAATGGGTTAAACATTTATGCATCTAACAATAAATGCAGAGTCTGCAGTCTGCACTGTTGTTTATTTATAGTATATATGTGCATATTTCATATAACTGCACGATCAGTCTGCACTAGTTGTATATATTGTCCACCAAATTCAAAAACTAGTATATTATGTAATTTGCAAACAGACCATAAATCGACAATACAACTCCAAATAAGCGCACTGTTTGAAAAATATTATATTTTATTTTTCCAAATAACGTGTAAAAATTTCTCTAAAAGTTATATAATCTGTGGGGAACTTTTAATTAATTACTTAGGCAAAGAAGTAAATTTTGGTAACTACCCATCAATTTTGACCTGCATAGAAGATTTTTGAAAGCGTGATGATGATAATGACAGAGATAATTGGTGTTGTAAGGCTGAGAGAGGATGTATTATATTATTATTATATAGAGGTGTGTGGAATGTTAGTGGGGCGGTGGCAAGAGACGACCACCCGTACACATACGGAATATTAGTCCAACTCTTATTGCAATTCTCTCCTCTTATCTCTCTCACACTCTCCGCGTATTGCTTGTGGTTGTGGATGTGTAGTTGCCTTCTAGAATTCTTTATGAGTGGTTTATGCATTACTAATATAATAATATGGACACGTGTTTTATGTTGTCATGAATATCTTTCACACACAATTATTTAAACTAGTATGTAGCACGTGCGAGATAAACTGAACAATAATCATAAAATAATTAAATTATGTAGTGAATATCGACTAATTTAAGAAAATATTTTTAGTAATTTTATTATTAACCTTTTACATTTATTTCATGATATATAATAGTTTAAAACATAATTTATATGCACACTTCATTGATTTTAAAATAATTATCATTCTAAATTGTGTAACTAAAAAATTAATTAATTATTTAATAATACTCCTAAATAATCTTTTTATCTCCTTTTTTTATTAATAATTTATTAGCATATTTTTTTTTCATAATTAATGTTAATGTTAGAAAATTTGGTAATATTTTTAAAATGAAATAAAGTCTTTAAAACGACACTGGTTTAAAATTGAAGCGCATAATTTATACATTATTTTATTTATAAGTTTTGATACAGAAAATAATATATTGAAAGTAAAAGATCTTCAATTAGAATTTTTTTTATTAGTTAACTAAAATAAAGATTATGTAAAGAAATGATTAGTCTTATTTATATCTTTTACTAATTGACATAAAAGGAAGGAATAATTAATAATTTTATTTTCCAAAAATAAAACAATGATTATGGAAACAAATAATTACTCTTTATTATTTAAAATAAAAGAAAATTTTAATTAGAAATTATAGAAAAATTAAACATTACGGCTACAAATTTAAATAATATATGATGAAAAAAAAGTCTCTTTTATTTTAATATTATAAGAAAATATAAATAAAGTATTTTTTTAATTTCCTTAATTNAATGATTTTTTCATCAAATTCTTTCAATATATATAGCTATAGATATATTAATTATATTATAACAATGATTTAATTTCCATTTTGTGATGACAGAGTAATAGGTTTATTCTTTTTTTTTTAACTTCATTTATTTTGGTTAAAACAATATCACAATCTCATATGACTTGTTCTCCCATGGAATTTGACTATCTGACGCAGTCTGGCATTTTAAATCCTTTCTCGACTATTAGACGCAACTGATACTGTAAATAACATAGAACCCCAATAAAAAATTGATTATGTAATTAAATAAGAATTATATAAGCATTTTTCAGGGTAACAAGTCAATCTGTCAAAATCATCAATCTTCTTCAGTAAGAATACCTTACCAAATCAGAAGCAAGGAGTTCGTGTTGTTGTTAATGGTATTCAAGTTCAAAGTTCTACTAGGTATCTTGGATTGCCCCTGGGATTGGGAAGTCTAAGAAAGAGGTATTTAGCTATGTAGCGGATTGTGTGAGGAAGAGGATTGTCAACTGGAAGAGCATTTATCTCTCTGCTGCTGGTAGGGAGGTTTTAGTTACTGCAGTACTCAATGCTTTACCTATATTTGTGATGACCTGTTTCAGGCTTCCAATAGGGACCTGCAAGGATATCTCTAGTATGTTTGCTCAATTTTGGTGGAGCAACGGTGAAGATAGATCACAAGGCATACACTGGACAAGATGAAATTTGGTTACAACACCAAAGGATAGGGGAGGATTGGGTTTCAAGGATGTTAGTCTCTTTAATGAAGCAATTCTGGTGAAGCAGCTATGGAGGGTAGTGACACAAACAGAATTATTGATGAGTCAAGTAATCAAGAGCAGGTACTTGCCTACACATTCTATCTTTGAGGCTAAAATAACACAAAACTCTTCTTGGCAGTGGAGATGTTGGGTGTTTGTCCCATTTTTTTGTCTTTATTTCATGTTTATTTTCTTTTTGTTTTCCCCCATTTGTAGGTTTTTCGTAGCTTATTTGGTCCATTTCTTTTGTTTTGTGCTTTTTTCTTTAATTTATATTTTTGTATCTTTTTGCCGTGTTTTGCTTCATGTTTTTCCGTGTTTGTGTTTTCAGGAGGTAGGTTGTGCCGGTCGAGGTCAGGATTGCGTGAGCCGAGACTGTGATATCGAGAATACCCGTTGCCGAGCCTAGAAGACTCGAGGAAGGACTAAAAAAACGGACAGAAACGGTTCCCAGAAAATTTCGCGACTCGCGGAAAAAACTGGGGCTTAAGAGGATTTCCGAAGAAGGAGTCGCGACTCGCCGGATGATGTCGCGACTCGCGAGATAGAGTCGCGACTCGCGAGTTATGTCGCGACCAGACCCTAGGAATTGAACATTTTGAAGACGCGCGACTCGCGAGGATGTCGCAACTCGCGACCGAGAAGAAGACTATCTCGCGACTCGCGACTTAACCGGCGCGAATTTTGAGGACGAGATTTTTAGAGCTGATTTCGATCATAGGGTTCATTATTCACTTCCAGACTTTGTTTTTTACGCTTTTTCTCTAGAGAAACTCATTCCTTTTCATGTTTTTCCTCCTTTGATTGGATTTGGAGATTGAAAACTCCTTTTCTCTGCTTTGGATTTGGATGCACTTGGATTTGACATTGAATTCTTATCATTAATCGTAAGTTATTTTCCTCAATTGCTTTGTTGATGATGATGACTTGGGTTTATATGAATGTTGATTTTAAATTCGTTATGAGTAGCTAAATCCATTCGCTAGGGATAGGGGATGATTGATTAGGTTCGATAATGATTGAATGCTTTTGATTGTTCATGTCTATTCGAGTTGTGTGAATTATAGGGTTAGTAGATTGATCACCTTTCTAACCTAGATAATCAACGTGTAGAACCGAGAGGGGAGACGTTGGTTGAATTAGGCTCGTTTAGAATAGATTTGTTCGGAAACGTATTATCTATGTGTTGTTGGAATTGATAGTTGATCGTTTACATTCACTCTCTTGTTACGAAGAGTTATTGAGAGTAAACCTCTGAACGAGAAACGATTCAAGACCTTTAACCGAGCAATCAATTGCCGGTGATTGTGTTAGAACCGAAAGCAATTATCCCCGATTCCCTAGCTCTTTAATCATTCAGAGAATCCGTTTGCTATTTTACTTTCACTTTATTTAGTTTAAATCAGTAGTTGATAATTGAAACCCAAAAATATTGAATTAGAGTGTTTAGGAATTTTTCTTCTCTTTTTCGTGATTGAATATAGGCACAAGAATATCCGGCTAACCTTCCTTGCGATACGACCCGGGGAACAAATCTTTTGATTCAACTCCGGTAAAAATACTGACAACATTGGAGGTAGATAAGGGGGCTTTTGCAAGAAGGGTTGAGGGTTGAAGTGAAAAATGGAGCCTCTTTAAAAGTGAATGATTTCAACTGGATACCGAGAGTGGTGGGGAGAAAACCACATATTTTAAATGAAGAAAATTGCAATCAGCTGCTAGTGAAAGATCTTATAGATGCCACTGGGAGAAACTGGAATGAGCAAAGAGTGCTGGAGGTGTTTGGTGGGGAATATAGTTCACCTGTTCTGGCTACTACTACTCTTAACCCAACTGAGGAGGATAAATGGAGATGGAGACTGGGAACAAATGGGAGGTTTTCAGTTGCTGCATCTTATTCCTTTCTG